CCCCGCTCCGATCCCCGGGAGCTCTGCCGCACTCAGGCACCCCCGGTCTTTCTGTGACCCCGAGGGTCCTGAGACCACACTGTCCCGGGAGGGTTCCACCCCCCGCTTAGCCACTGGAGCGACGTCCCTCCACGGAGCCAACTTCTAAAAGGTCCGATTTTGTGCTCCGCGGCTCTAGCACTTGCCAGAAGCGGCCAACGGAGGCCCCCTCCCCCGCCGTCTCTCCTCCCGAATATCGCCTCGGATTCACTTCTCCGCACGTCCTACCTTCCAGTAAGTGGTCGCTTCTCTGTTAGAGTTGTTGCTACTCTCTTCTTCCGTCTCCTGTTGAGTTCGTAGGTGTTCAGAATGGTTTGATCCCTATTCAGCTGAATTCCTGAGACCAGATGAAATCCGGGTCTCCTACTCCTCCGCCATCTTGCTTTAAGAGCCTATTTTTTTATTTTTAAAATTTTTTAATTTTTGATTTTTAAAGATTTTATTTATTTGAAGGAGAATGGGTGAGCAGAAGCAGGGGCGGAGGGGCAGCGGGAGAGGGAGAAGCAGACTCCCCAGTGAGCAGGGAGTCCATTTTGGGTCTCTCCCACCTGCTGGATAATTTGAATTGTTTATTTTTTGGGTATGTGAGGTCCTTTTTTTTTTTTTAAGATTTTATTTATTTATTTGAGAGCGTGAGCAAGAGAGAGAGCAGAAGCCGGGGAGGGGCGGAGGGAGAGGGAGAAGGAGACTCCCCGCTGAGCAGGGAGCCCGATATGGGGCTCAATCCCAGGACCCTGAGATCATGACCTGAGCCAAAGGCAGACACTTAACCCCTGAGCCACCTAGGCGCGCTGTAGATCACCCTTTTTAAATAAACACTTGTTTTTAGAATAGGTTAGACTCACAGAAGAGCTGAAGAGAGGGTACAGAGAGTCTCATATGCTTGCACGCAGTGTTCCCTGTCGTTGGGATCTTACAGTAGCGGGATACGTTTGGCACAACCAATGAACCAGGATCGATGCTTTATTATCGTTCACTCAAATCCATTCTTTTCTCAGACTTCCTCAGCTTTTCTCTAATGCCCTTCTCCTGTTCCAGGATCCCATGTGGGGGCCCGCATTACATTTAGCTGTTATGTCACGCTCCTCTTGTCTGTGATGGTTTCTCACACTTTTCTTGTTTTTATGACCTTGACAGTGTGGGTAGTACTGCTCAGGGAGTTTGTGAAATGTCCCTCAGTTTGAGTGTGCCTCATGTTTGCTCACGATTAGAGTTAGAAGTCAGGGGAGGCGGTGAGGACTACAGAGGAAAGTGCCATTCTATTCACATCTTATCAAGGGTACCATTAAAAAAAATGGAGTGACACTTGCTAAAGACGGTAAGGCCGACTTCATTCAGGACCACTGTGATAGGTGGAGGGACCACTGCAATGGGATTTTGCAGTGGGGGAGAGATGTTGGCTCAACTCCAAGTACAGCACTGGCAAGTGGGGATTTATAGCCAAGGAGCAGGGTGGGGGTCAGCAGGTGGAAAATGACTCAGAGGAGTAACGGAAGTTGTGGCTAAACTGAGCTAATGGGGTTCTTGCTGAAAGCAGGCCAGAGTGATCCATCATCCCCCGGGGGGGTGTAGAGGATGAAGACTGTGATCAGATGTGAAGGGTGGGGTGCTGGTCAAACTGAGCAGAGTTCTTGCTGAAACTAGATTTTCCAAGGAAGTGCACAGCTGGGCCGAGAAGATTCAGGAGGCTGACTAAAGTTCGGTCAAGCAAAGAGTCTTTGTCAGTACAGCTGTCGACATGACTCATCACCACTGCTCTTCACCTTGGTCACCTGGTTGAGGTCATGTTTGTCAGGTGGCTCCACTGTCCCCTCCCTGTTCGCTGTAGTCCCTCTTTGAAAGGAAGCCACAATGCACAGCCCACGAGTTAAGGAGTGGGTTATGTTCCACCTCCTTGAGAGTGTGGTACCTGCATGAATTATTTGGAATTTTTCTGCAAGGCACTTCTTACACACCCTGTCTTCTGGAAGTTTCACAGTGGTGATGTTGAAATTATCTCCCATTTTCCAGAAGTGGAAACAGAGACTCAGTGAAGTTTACTCACCTTCCCAGGGCTACCCAGGTTTTTTTTTTTTTAAGATTTTATTTATTTATTTGAGAGAGAGAGTGTGAGCAAGAGAGAGAGAGAATACAAGCCAGGGGAGGGGTGGAAAGAGAGGGAGGAGCAGACTACCCACTGAGCAGGGAGCCTGATGTGGGACTCCATCTCAGGACTCTGGGGTCATGACCTGAGCTGAAGGAAGATGTTTAACCGACTGAGCCATCCAGGAGCCCCACACTGCCCAGATGTTAAGTGACAGGCTGGGACTTGAACTTGGGTGTTCTCACAATCAGCTCTTCTAAGTCCTAAGTTTTCTCTCTGCACTGGCATTTAATCATGCTACTGAAGCTAATTCATCCAGAATTCACTTAACCCCTGGGTCACTTGTGCTCTTCCCTTAGGCAGGCTCATTGGGGGCACTTTGGGGGTCTCTATGGTGAGCCCACCCCTAGAAAGGGCTTTGTCGGAGCAAATCCTATCCCAGAAAGTTGGACTGGGCTCAGACTAGATTTCAGTATGGTGCATGTTCTGGTTCTGTTATGTAAGGAAGGCTGTCTGTGTTAGCCTGTCTGTCTACCTATTTATCTATCACTATCTATGTGTCTTACTAAAGAAAAGGAAAGCTCCCCTTGGTTAATTGTCATGGTTTTAAAGAAGTGTTAAAAGAGAAACTGCGGCAAATTAAAAATGTCGAGTTTGAGCAAAAGTTGATTCAAATCAGGCAGCATCCCATCTAGCAGATAGAAAGGCACTCCAAGGAGTTGTACGCAGTAGGAGACTTTTACAGTCAGAGGAGGAAGGAAGGGGAAGGAGGGAGGAAGAATAAGGAAACTATACAGGGCGGAAAAGTGGGTTGGTTATTGCAAGGTCACTTTCCTTTAGGGGATGCCAGGGGTCTATCAGGCAGATGATCAGGATCACTAGTGCTGATCAGGCGATTCCCGATTGATTGGTTTAAGATTCCATCTCTGGAAAAACCCAAACTGTAATTAAGTCTCGGTTTGGTGATTGGGGGCTTAGCATAAGCGACTCCATTTTGGACCTGTTGTCTTGTTTTTAACAGAAGAGAGGTTAATATCTGTATATACTTAGAAGCATCTTGTCTACCCTTGATTTCATTGAACGAGGCCATCTGTGTCCTGAGAAACCCAGTGGGGAGGCGGGCTGGATTTCATGGATTATTGAAAGCTTGTGCCTGTAGTCAGAACAAGTTGGCCACGTGTTGGTTTTCCAGAGCTCAACATAATAAGCAGAACAGTTCTGTATAATGGGCTGTTTGCTTTGTGGATTTTCAATATTTCCTCTCCCCGCCTGTTCAAAGTGTGCAGGATAGAACGGTGCAAAGGATATCCTGCTGCAAATTACAACAGACACACTTTCACATTTTAAAAGAAATGGCTCTAAATGAATTGCAATTCGTTTCACTCTAAATCTAACTGACAGGTGCTGCAAAGCGTTTAGCTGGGTGACGAACCTAACTGAGATCAAAGGACACCCCCCCACACACACACAGTTTAGAGCAATTAAGCTGCTCCAGGCTCCTGCCAGCTAGCATCTTCCCCACCCTGGCACCTTCAATGACAATGGAGGGCCGAGTGAGTAAATGAGTGAAAAAAGCACCAGTTGCTGGTTGGAATCCGTGAGTCATGGTGCTAGTGGGGCACACCTGCTTGTACCCATTTGTAGCTTGTTTCGGGCAAGGTCATGTTAGTCAGTGTTTCTCTCTCAGAAAGCTTCATGGCTCACCTTTTAATTTTTGCCGTGAGTTCAGGAGATGGGCTGAGGTCCATGGTAAGCAGACAACAATGGTTCTAGAAGAATCTGTACCCCAGTTTTTGTTGAGAGTGGGCAGCCATGAGGTCTCACCTCCTCTGCCACATCCCAGACTCATGTGCTACCTGTCACAGAGTCAGCCGGGGAAGGGGCCTCATGCCTCTGGCACCTCGATGGTGCAGAGGGCCCCCGGGGGCCGGGGGGGAGGAGAGGAGGTGATGCTCAGTTAATGACAGAGAGCACCGGAGTGTCCACGAGGCCCCTTGCCTGCAGCCTGACAGTGGGATTTCCCCAGGAACATGTGTGCACTGGGAAGAACGGGGAGATTTCAGAGGGCTGGATCCCCAGCGTGTAAGGAAGGAGACTGGGCACCCAGGCCCTCCACCGGGGCCCAGGGGAGAGACTCCTGCAGACTGCTCGAACTCTCCAGGGCCTATTAGCTGAGGTCAGCAAGGGTGAGGTTGGGGATGGCAGCTCAGAGAAGGGCCTGGGGGTGCAGGGGCTGGGTGGGTCTGGGTAGCAACATTCCCCACGTTCCCTGCCTCCTGCCTGTGTGTGTGTGTATGTGTGTGTGTGTAGGTGTGTGTGTGTGTGTGTGTGACAGAGAGAAAGAGACAGACAGACAGAGACATGTCTGAGTGGTAACAGCAGGTGACAGCATGAATTGGCATATCCCCTCGCTGTGATGATGACCTTCTCCTAGGGAGCACCGAGAAATGGCTCTGAGGTTCATTTTTAGTTTTGCATCTGTTTGCATTGGCATCTCCTGGTGGGAGCTGACAGAATCCAGGACCTTCCCCCTGATCAGCCAGTGACGCCAGAGGCTCGCTTAGCTCAGTTTCCATATGCCAGCCCCACCCGCATGCTGGCTCCCCACGGTCCCTCCTTACCCGGTTGACAGACAGCTGGGCTCCCCCGTGGGTGGGCCGCAGAGAACCGGAATGAACTGGGGTGGCGCCCTGTGTCTTGCTGTTTCCTGGACGCCGTGAGAATTATTTCTCGTGTCTGAGGGGCAGCCTCAGCCACCCAGACAGATGGGCTCGTCCTGGAGGTTGACCGTGTGGCCGTCCTGGCTCTGGGGAGGCTTCCGGGGCATGCACACCGTTGTTGGAATGCGCTCAATAAACGTGTGTGATTCTCTTCGCAGGGCATGCCACCATCACCAACTACTTGCTGAACTATTTTCCTGGCCTTGACCTTGAGAGGAGGAACGTGTTTGGGTTCACTGCCCTAATGAAAGCCGCCATGCAGGGCCGAACAGAGTGCATCAGAGCCCTGATGCTAGCAGGTTTGTCTCTGCCCATCCTGGGGTGGGGAGGGGGTGATCCCCAAGGGTCTTGGGAAATGCCGATCTTGCTCCTTTGGAGAACACGTACTGAGGTGCATCAGTTCCATAGAGACGGAGCCTAGTGGATGCAATGAAGAATAGTTTCTTTGAGGGGTGTGGTTGTCATCAACTGAGCTGAAACAGATGGAAAGGAAAACAAACCCTTCCGGGTGGGGTGGGAGGTCACATTACTGGTCACCCTACAGGAAACCCCTCTTTGCTCCCCGATAAACTCTTCCCTCAGCCTTAGCTTCCTCCTGCCCATATTTGTTCTTCTTTAGAAACGTGTGTTCTGGCCTTGGCTTTGAGCAGCAAGCCTCTCTACTGAGGGTGGGCACAGGGATGGGAGTATGTGGGGGTCTTGGCTCCGAGTGAAAGCCTGTCTCATTGAGGGTGGGCGCAGGGATAGGGGCATCTGAGGGTCTTGGCTCCGAGTGCAAGCCTGTCCCACTGAGGGTGGACACAGGGATGGCAGGATGGGCCCAGTAGCCATCCTAGATCCCCATTTGCTGGTGGTTGGAGTCACATGCTGATGTAGGATGCAGCAGTTTCCTTTGTCAGTGACATGTCACCGAGTGGAAAGACAGGCACCCCCGCCTTGCCCTTTATGACCTGGTCATCTTGGAGGGAGCACTTCCTTCTCTGAGCCTCCCGTTCCCCATCATGGGAGTCATGACTTCCTTCCCACCCCCCAGGATGAAATGTGACCCTGCTTTGTAAACTCCCCAGGGCTACGTAGATTTAAGGAATTGCCCAGCTAGATTCAGTCGGCCCCCAGCTCCTCTCTTCCCTCTAGAATGCAGTCCCTGATCATCTTTAACTAGCCTTGTTGGGTTATTTTGAGAATCAAATGAGAAAATGTGTATAATGCACACACAAAGGGTCAGGTGCAGAGCTGGCATCTAATGATTCAGTCAGTGTGAGATGCTGTGCCCACATGGTTTAATTTCCTTATTTTGCTTCATCTTGTCTTTGTTCTTGGCACTGGGTTCAGCCCATCCCGCTTGGCCCCACGAGATCCTGGAGAGGTGGCATTTGCCCTCCCGCTGTGGTTCTCTGAGGACGCAACGACCTTCTGCTGGGCATCAGCCTAGGCTGGTAGTCCTCTTTAGACAACTTGCTGCTTCTTTTTTTTAAAGGAAACTTTTATTTGGGACTAATTTAGATGTATAGGAAGTGACAGAGATAGTACAGAGAGTCCCAGATGGCCCTCACTTGTCTCCCGCATGTTAACATCTTGCGGAGGGGCCAACGCTGGTACATCACTATTGACCGAACTCCAAACTATTCGGATTTCCCCTGCATCCGTTGCTGTCCCCTTTCCGTTTTCCGGGATCCCCTCCAGGCTCCCACATGTAACTGTCCCGTGTCCCCAGGGTCCTGAGGCCGGGGACGGTTTCCCAGTCTCACCTCCCATCCCTGACCTGACGGTCTGCGTAGTGGCCTGTGTACAGTGCCCCCAGCCTGTCTGCCGGTTTCCTTGTGATCACATTGGGGTTCTAGGATTCACAGCTTGCCTGGGTTTCTTTTCTCCCACTTCAGTCTGAGTGTTTTAGGGGATGCTGGAAGAAAAATCAGTTCCGTAAGTGATGACAGGCTTCAGAGATGAAAACTTTCACAGAAATAAAAAAGAGTGTAATTAGATTTAATCCCATCGATTGTGCTTTTGACTCTGACAGTTTATTTTTCAAAGGCAAGATAACAGTTTCAACAAAGTTTAGGCCTTGCCTGTCCTATAGCAACAAGAGGTGGTTCTTCCTAATTAAATGGTGTTCATGATGCTTTTGTGTTTGGGGGAAGCTTCATCTGCTTTTACCACTTCTGGAGCTAGTGTAGGCTTTTAGTAATTTACTCCCCCCCCAACTATGATTGATGGATCGATTGATTTTTAATGTTTCAAGTTTTTTTTTTTTTTAAAGATTTATTTATTTGAGAGAGTGAGAATGAGAGAGAGAGAGCACATGAGAGGGGGGAGGGTCAGAGGGAGAAGCAGGCTCCCCGCCGAGCAGGGAGCCCGATGCGGGACTCGATCCCGGGACTCCGGGATCATGACCTGAGCCGAAGGCAGTCGCTTAACCGACTGAGCCACCCAGGCGCCCAATGTTTCAAGTTTTTATTTAAATTCTAGTTAGTTAACATGTAGTGTAGTATTAGTCCCAGGAGTAGAATGTAGTGCTTCATCACTTACATACAACACCCAGAACTCATCACAAGTGCCCTCCTGAATGCCCCAGAAAAATGCATTACGTTTTCCTTTTACAGTAGATGTGCATATATGTCTTAAAAGAAAAAAAAAAACAAACTTGTGCGATTGAAGTCCCTCCTGGCTTGGGTGCATAGCCATAAGGATATTTGTTGGGATATTTAAAAAATGTGCACAAGTATTTTTAAGTCTTGTTATTTACATTTAATATATCAATATTTAGAAAAACTAAAGCCTTTAAAGATACTAATGCCTGAGTATTTCTTTGGATTGGCATTTCAACAGCGAGTGCATTTTTGTGCAGCTGGGGAAGATTCCTTGAGAGCTAATCACAGAATGGTCATCCTGTGATCATTTCAAAAGCAAAAGGCACAAGCAGTATTATGTTGAATGGGTAGGGTAGAGATCTGTATCTGTCTCATCCTCATTTTTTCAAGCTCAAGCATGCTTCTGCACCTGAGTTGAATTTCCGAATTGCAACTTCATTATATTCAATAGGAACCATTTCCTTTTAGAAATGATGGATCATTGAGTTGGATGCCCCCTTAAACAGTTCAGGTTTTCGAGTAGTTCATAACATCCAGACACATATCATCTTCTTATCTTATCTTGTCAGGCAGAACGAAGTAACGTTAGAAATTATCAAAACTTTGGATTTTCATAAAAATGTGACCAGGTTCCAAAAAGCTGATTTATTGGCTCTTTGGTTTTTGGCTTCCCAAGGAATAATGTCAGCTCTGCTGATGCGCATCGCAAGTGGGGCTGTGGGTTCTTGTTAATTCAACGGAATCTTAATGCCCCGAAGTGACAGGTCTATTTAAGTAAGTGGCTCTGAGAAGCCATAAGGAGGATGTGATTTTCCCTGAAGAGAAGCAGAGCTCAGTGGAGGTTGGAAGGCTCCAGACTCGCTTAAGAGGGCCGGCTTTTATCCCTGAAGTGTGTGATTGCTGTAGCATTTGGGAAGCAGACACGCGCAAGCAAGATGCTCATCTCTTCCCGTGATTCTGGGCAACAAAGCAGACCTCTGGGGAGGTGTAGGAGGCTTGTTCAACGAGAGAGAGGCACTCCTGTTGTTGGGCCTGTGGTCCTTCTTGTCCTAGGCAAGCCCCGACTGTGTGCTTTCTGGAAAGCCAAGTGATTTGATATAACTACAGAGGTTTCTTTCTGTTTATAAGGAAAACATGGATTTCCTGTGACCTGAGAATTTGCTGACTTGGAATAGTTTCAAAAGATTATGCAGGGAAAGGGCCAAAAGTCAGGCATTCCATGTCACCGAGGGCAGGGTCTTAGCTTGGGCATTTCGCTTGTCCCAAAAGCAAACCTTGAGACAAGGACTTGGGGGCAACTAGTTTTTCTGGAAGGGGAGCCAGGAAGCCACATGAAGGATGGGGAAGGGGGACCCTTGGGCAACTGGGGGTCAGCCCTGCTGAGACCCTCCGAAAGACCGAGTACAAGATAGCTTGGAAATGCCTTCGGGGGTGGAGCAGGCTGGAAGCAGAAAGCACAGTCTTTCCCATCCCCCAGATCAGGTCTCTTTTCTGAGACCCTGCATCCTGATTTTTCGCATCGATTATATCCCAAGTACCCAAGACACAGGCCAGGATGGCACAGGAGGAGACCTGCAGGGACTGGTCCAAAAGGGTCCCGTGAGACCAGTAAGGCCTCTTGGTGGGAGGGGGACCAGCGCTGGGCTTAGAAGGGTAGATAACGTGGGGGGCTGGCAGAGAAACAGGAAAGGAAGTGACGCACCCCGGGCTCTGCCTGCCTACTGCTAGTCCCATGACCTGGCCGCAAGTCTGCGGAGAAAGCTTCCGACGGTGAGTGATGGAAGGTAGCTTGTTTTCCTTTAGCACCTGTTTTAGAATGCTTTCTGCTTCCCGTCACAGACATCCTGACTTGACAGTGGCTGAAAGAAAACAAGCATCTGTTTTGTTCACCTCGCCAGAAGTCCTGAGGTAGGCAGTCACGGTGCAGAGCTGGCCTGAACTCCATGAGGACATCGCAGAACTAGGTTCCTTTTTCTGTCCACCCAGCATCCCCATGACTCCCCCTTCCTCTCCCCCCTGCAACGTGGTCACCGGAACTCTAGGCTTCAGACAGGAAGCAGCACCACCAACCACATAGTCACTTTTATCAGTGTACAAAAGCCTTCTCTTTGGGGCTCGTTGACCGGCCGTAAGCGAGGCTAAGAAAAAGAACAGGACTGCAGTTACTGGGTTAGACCGGTAATTCTCACCTGGGGTGGGGGTTGCCCCCCCCAGAACATTTGGTAATATCTGGGGACATTTTGGCCTGTCACAACTGTGAAATGCTACTGGCATCTACTGGGTAGAGACAAGGGTTGCCGTTAGAAGTCTTACGGCACAGGAGAGCCCCCACACCACATAATGATCTGGCCCAAAACATCAACGGTCCCGAGGTGGCAAAACCCTGGTTTACACCAGTCATGAGGCATTGCCTAGAACTGAGTATGTTGCTGCCTTGAGTAAAACAGAGGACTTTGCATAGACAACTCAGAGCATTCAACATGGCGGCAAATGGATGCACGGGCAGGAGCCCAACTTTTGTCTGCACGGCTGGAGCCCTGGGCAAAACAGCCCTGGGTAGGGGGTGAGGGTGCCAAGTAGTTCATGGGCAGAAGATGCATACACTGGCCTGTCAGAGTTCTCCGTGTTCTCTGACAGGTTTCTGTGTAGAGTGTTCATCATTGGTGCTGGCCTTCCATGATTTAATCATGCCGTCCAGGCCGTTAATATTGTCTTTACTGATTGCTGAAGGAAGTGGATCCCCAAGTTATGGCATGACTCACATCCTTAGGCTGCACTCCCGTGCGCATGGCCTTGTCCTTCAGAATGTGTGCAGTTTCTAAGATCATCTTGAAAAGGCACAGGGAGAAGTATGCTACACTGTGGACAGCTGTTCTTTTAGTTTTCCATTCGCTTTTGAAAAATGTCTCTCTCCAGCTGGGTTCATTAAGATTTTAATTTTGCAGTTTGTACCTTTTTAAGTGACATGCAATTAATTAAGGTTTAATGTGTCATCTATTTTTGCAGTGACATTTTTACTGCCCCCTTTTCATTTTTGTCGGTTTATAAATTGTACTCTGGCTAATGAGTTCCATCCCGATTTCCAGTTCCAAATAATTACCACTCCTCTAGTATGCCTATTTTTTAAATGTGCCCCAGAATGAAGAGCATTGTGAGGCAATCTCAGGTGGCCTGGGGCTGCCTGGGCCAGGGGGCCACGGGCGGGGGCCTGGGGCAGGGAGGCTGGTGAGCTGTCCTCGCCTCCGTTCAGCACACGCTGAGCTGCCGCCGCACATCAGACACCTGGGTCTGCATGGGATATAAATGCAGAAGCCTCTGCCAGTCCTGGTCCCTGGGGAGTTCACAGACTAGATAATTGCCCTAGTTCTCCACATTGCTTTCCAGTGAAAGTATGACTAATGGGACCTGAAATCCTGAATGATTTTTAACTGTGTATGAGGCTGAGATTGGACCAAGATGAATTAAACAGCAATTCCTTATTAATTTCTCTTATAGTACCATGCTGAAATTTATGAACATTTCATCAAGTTGAGTTGAAGTTTAAATTTGCAGTATTAGGAGGGGACAGTGGGTGGTATGGGAGAGATTTATTAAAGAAGTGACTAGTGTAAGGGAGACTGAGGAGGTAGGAGGCAGGGTTCTCCAGAGACACAGAACCAACAAGAGATACACATTAAGAGATTTCTTTTAAAGAATTGGCTCACATGATTTTGGGGGTTGGAGAGCCCAAAATTAGTGAGGGCAGGCCACTGGGCTGGAAACTTGGACAGGAATTAATGCTACAATCTTGAGGCTGAATTCTTTTTTCTCCCGAAAACTTTAGCTTTTGGTCTGAAGGCCTTCAACTGATTGGATGAGGCCCACCCACATTATTGAGGGTAATCTTGGCTCAGTCAACTGATTGTGGATGCCAACTGCATCTGTCAAATAGCTTTACCATGCACCTAGCTAGATTGGTGTTTCTTTACATCCCTGGTTACTTTAGTCTGACCATATTGACACAGACAACTGTCAGAGAGGAGGCGGTCCTCTCTCTGTGGGGTGGTGGGAAGTGTACAGGGCTGAGACTTTCTCTGTTACCATCTTCGAGGCCTCAGGTAGGTCCCTTGGCCACTGTGACTACCATCCGTTCTATAACAAACCTTTATTCAATGCATGCCCTTTACCAGCCAGGGTGAGAAGTGTCAAGGAAACGAAAACGAGTAAGATGTGGGCTCTGCCCTGGAAAAGCCCACGATCTGGTAGAGGATAGACCCAGGACCTCCTAACCACTCAGTACAAGAAGTGAAGGACCACACATTTCCTGCAAAATAGGGACCCTCACATTCTTCACAAGAGATCTGTACTTCACATGAGATGATAAGTAAATGGGACACCAAATGCTTTGCAAGTGATTATTCCTTTTAGTATTCTAGAACATTCTAGTAACATCATTGATGTGTTCACAGAGCACCTTTGCTGTCTAGTCATCTCTTCATTGCTGGAAAGCCATGAAGATCTTTTTTTTTTTTTAAGATTTTATTTACTTATTTGAGAGAGAGAATGAGAGAGAGAGAGCACGAGAGGGAAGAGGGTCAGAGGGAGAAGCAGACTCCCTGCTGAGCAGGGAGCCCGATGTGGGACTCGATCCCGGGACTCCAGGATCATGACCTGAGCCGAAGGCAGTCGCTTAACCAACTGAGCCACCCAGGCGCCCCAAGCCATGAAATCTTATTTCTTTAAAAATTCCATGATTTAGGTGCTGAGTTTAGGCAGTTTTGTTTAGGAAAGGTGGGCCATTAAATGGAGCACTTAAAGGTGGGTTGTGTTGTGATAATAGTAGTTCACGGTCAGCCGAACGTTCATCCAGGTGGCACAGCTCCCGGTAGTCTGTCACTAGGTTTTGGAAGTTTTACCTTTGATCCATTTCACTCTTTCGTTTCCTGCCATTGACTGGGAAAGTTCTTGTTGCATTTGCCCATTACTGTTTGTGTTTGCATTTTTTTTTTTTAAATTTTCAGGAGCAGATGTCCATGCCAGGGACCCCCGCCGCGGGATGTCGCCCCAGGAGTGGGCCACTTACACTGGACGGGTGGAGGCTGTCCGCCTCATCCAGAGGCTGCTGGAGCGACCCTGCCCGGAGCAGTTTGGGGAAAAATACAAACCAGAGCTGCCGCTGCCTCCGGAGGCCGTTCTGAAGCCCTCGGGCTCCAAAAACTGCTTGCAGAAGCTCACCGAGCTCGTGCGGTCCACGCTGACCTCCCGCTCACGCCAGGGCCTGGAGGATGGGGGTGTCCTGGACCACATGGTCAGGATGACCACGAGCCTGTACAGCCCCGCCGTCGCCATCGTCTGCCAGACTGTGTGCCCCGAGAGCCCCCCCTGTGTGGGGAAAAGGCGGCTGGCGGTGCAGGAAATCCTGGAGGCTCAGGGGAACCGGGACACGCACGCCCAGGAGAGTGACAAGATCCAGGGCTCTGAGCAGCCATTCCGGACCTCCCAGGCCGTCGGGGTCTCCAGAGAGGTGGCCCCGAGAGCCAGCCTCCCGTCTCCGCAGCTGCCGGGTGCCCCGCGGAGGACCAGCCTCCTGCCCCTGCAGCTGCTGAGGAGGAGCAGCGTGCGGCCCGGCGTGGTCATCCCCAGGGTGCGCATCAGCAAGGCGCCCGCGCCCACCTTCCAGCCAGAGCGGACGGCCGCCAAGGGCAGCACCAAGGACAGCGCCCACCTGCAGCTCCCCAAGTGGCGGTACAAGGAGGCCAAGGAGGAAAAGAGGAAGGCGGAAGAGGCGGAGAAGCAGCGGGTGGCGGCGGCGCAGAAGGAAAAGCGGGCGTCCTCCTGGAGGAAAAGGACGTGAGGGGTCAGAGGCCTGGAAGCGTGTGCGGTGGGGGAGGGAAGCAGCGGGGCTGCGCGCGGAGAGGGGTGCGGGTGTGCCTCCCTCCTGCCCTTGTCCCTCCCGCAGCGCTGCACCTCCCTGCGCATCCCGGGCAGAGGAGCGCCCTCGGACCTGGACCCAGAAGTGCTCCCCGTTTGTTTGTTCAGGCTGCACCCTTGCGTGCATTGGGCAGGGCACAGGTCGAATAGCCTGAAACCAGTTCCCCTAGCGATCAGTACACCTGGTGGGCAAATTTGCCGCGAAGCCTACCTTTAGAACCTCACTTGGGAAATTTATAAGACCAATTTATCAAGGGGTCTGAATAATTTTGTATTTTTAACCATGATCCAATTTGCAGCATTTTACTGGTGATGGGGTTGTTTGTATTTAAGACGGATTTTAATACATTTGCCCGAAGACCCTTTGTTTAACATACTGTTTCTGGCAATCATTATTTGTGATATCTCTATGATTTCCTACAGAATTTGTCGGGAGTCTCCCCTTTCTTGCTGTTTGTCTTTCCTTCTCATTGGACGCGCACGTGCGCACCGTATGTTCTTATTGATTTGATTCAGTGATTCGGAATATTTGTTTCTATTTGATGGAGGCATTTCCTTTTCCAGCAAAATGATGACGTGAGACAGGGGAATCAGAGTTCCTTGTGTCTTATTTTAAAGCTCTCTTACTTAGACGGTAATAATAATGAAGAAAAACCTGTTGTCAAAGCATGAAACCGTGCATCGAGAAGCATGTACTTATTGCTGGAACTAAGTATTTTAAGCAAGGGACTTTAGATAAACCGGATGCAAAACCTTTAACATATTCAAAAATAGATACGAGAAAAATCTATTATCTAATAAAATGGGGGCAAATGTAATAAGTTTTTACTGGAAATACAAAATTAAGTCCTCTGTACTCTTAGATAAATTGAATTCAGATATCCTTAAAATGTAAAAAAGATGCAAAAGAATAAGGCGCCAGAGTGATACAAACCGCTGAGAAGGTGGAGGGGGTTTAGAAGAACAGGGATTAGAACTGAATATTAAGCAAACTCGTTTTAGGCAAATTCTCCTGGAGTGGGCTGGATGGCTCCCTCCTCCAGACTCAATTCCTGGTGTGGAATTACTTTGATTTTTCCTTGGACTGCCCGTGATGTTCATTCAGTCTATCCTCATGCGGACTTTGTAGAATTTCCGAGATGCGGGGACTTGGGCAGAGCACGTCCGTGATTTGCCCGGAGCCCTGAGCTCTCAGTGGGAGTTCTGTCCATACTTTTTTTTAATCTCCAAAGCACTGAGAGAGTCTAATGAATCTCTGGCCATCTGGGTTGCAGAGTATCTGTCATATATGCACTCTGACAGCACTTTATTTTAAAAATTCTCTTCCTCGGAAGCTGTAGATTTAAAGTAGTGGGGACCGATTTGGAAGCTCTTTCTTACAACCCTGGATTCGCCAGTCAAATCGTGCCCCCTGGCTGGGGTGTGATGAGCGCCTGTCTCATGACGTGGGCAGGAATGGCGCTGGCCTCTCCCTAGTCCCTCCCACTTGGCACCGTGAGGCATTGAGCTATCCGGGGTCTCACACTCACCTCTCCAGAAACCTCAATTAACAGGCTATTGCGCCGCACCAACCTGATGGGTAGCTGTGATTATTAAGTCAGATTTTAGTGAGCTCCTCCCTCTTTCCAGAATGGCCTAGAGGTCTGGACGCACTTTTAGCATCACCGACACTGCGTGGCTGCAGGTCACCCTTGTGTCCAAGAGTTGGTATTGGCCAAATCCCCTTGGATGAGACGAGAGCTGGTCCCCGAGGCGAAGAGAAACACCCCTAGTCTCCCTGACAGTACGACCCGGCATCCTCTGAGATCATTGTCTGGTTTATGTATTTTCATTGCTTTGAATGGCTGGCTGCGTTTTCTCACTGAGGGGTCACCCTTTGCCTGCCGCTTGCTCGCTTCCAGCGTTGGTCGGGGGCAGGGGTGACGATGGGCAGTCACCCCCTCCTGCTCTCTGCGTGTCCCCTCAGCTTCGTCGCCACATTTCTTCCCTGCCTTCCTCGCTGCCCGCTCTCGTCCTTGCTTGCCTCTCCTTCCTTTGCCTGTTTTCTTTGGCAGCTGTGGCTAGTTGCCCTGATCCTCCCTGGCACCACCACTCTGAGGTCTAAAAAGGGCGGAAAAGCAAGGCAATTGTGAGAGGCAGTGTGGCGTCCCTGCTGAATTACATAATGACCTCCACCGACCCAGTGACTGAAGGACAGATTTCCCCAGCTTCTGTGCAGATGGTTTAGGATTTCGGCACAGCCCCCCACGCCTTTTATTATTATTATTATTTTTTAAGATTTATTTATTTATTTTGAGAGAGAGAGAGAGAAGAAGAGGGACAGAGGGAGAGAATCTTTCAAGCAGACTCCACGCTGTGCAAGGAGCCCGACGGCAGGGCTCCATCCCACAACCCATGAGATCATGAGCTGAGCCGAAACCAAGTATTGGATGCTCAACCGACTGAGCCACCCCGCCCCGCCTTTATGCCCATTTAAGGGAGGGGCACCTAGTTTGCTCTCCTGACAGATGACAGCACCACTCCGCTGTCGGAGGGAGTGGGGGAGCTGGGGTCTGCTTGCTCCCCTGTTGTTTATTAACTGTAAATAGTGAATTTCAAGTTGACAGGTACCTTCTCAGGGATTTATATATAAATGTAGTTAGAGGAAAAGATAAAGTATATTTTAATACTTTTATTAAAATGTTCGAGTGAATTATGATTACACTAGACAGAAGAAATATTTCCAAGACGACGTCAATGCTGCTGTCTTCTAGGGAAATGTCCGCCATCTCCCTCACTTGCGATTTTCTGGTTATTGGAGATCCGGGACTTTGGCAGCTGAAACGGCTCTGGAGTGGACGTGAGGTCACCTCAGCTCCTCTCAGTTACCTCTTGTGGATGTGAACCCTTGTGTTTAAAAAAATTCAGCCTGTATGTTAAGTAGCGGTGGTCATGATAACACAGAATAGCCATCTATTCACCGATTTCACCTCTAGAACTGGCTCCTCCCCGTCTGCTCCCAGGGTGGGTGGGGTCACAGTGACAGTTTCTAGTCCTGGCTTGTGTGATTCCAGTGTTCCGTAGTCTCCCTGCTGGGCAGGAGGAGGGAAAAGCTGGGAGAGGTTCTTCTGGAATGACCTCAGCGTTCAGAGCGTAAACTCTCCATGTCTTTGGCCACCCTAGAGAAACACAGCCCAGAACATCACGGACCAGAACATCATGGACCTTCCTTCCTCTCTCCGAGGAAGGAATATTCCATCACCCGGAAGGCGCCTGGCGGTACTGGGTACCTCAGCCACACGAAGATCAGAAATTGCAGTTCCTTGTCTCAGCTTCGGGCCTTCCTGGGACACCAAGCTCATCCTGCGGAGAAGGACGGAGAGATTCGTGATGTCAGCTGGAGCACGGGGCTTGTGCGTGCAGAGAGGCCGTTGCAGACTGCCTCTCCCCACTTCCTTCCATGCTTTAGGGGGTGAGCAGGTCTCTGGGGATCCAGCGTCTGAGTGAGGGCCAGGCGGTTGTGTGTGAAACAGAATCCCACGAGGTGGGGCCAGCCCCCAGTCCGGAAATGGATGCAAAGCCCGTCATCCTTAGGGAAGAATCCGGGGTACCAAGTCATGAAGAAGGGCCTCCCCGAGAGTTCAGTAAAGGAGCCAAGACTAAGAAGTGGGCCCGGTTTGTCTCTTGCAGCGTCTGGCAAGAGCCCTACCTCTCCCCCCTTGTCCCCACAACAGTCAGAGAGCAGACCGTCTTTTCCTAATTTCCCGGAAGTTCCTCGGAGTTCCAGGCCTGATGTAAGTCAGCTGTTCCTCTTTCCCCGGGTTCACCTGGAGATCCCTGCTCACTCATTGCCCATTCTCGTAGCACACACGGACGCCCCAGGCTCTGGAGATCCATCATCAACCATTGTAAAGTTTCTGGTCACAGGCCTTTAGGTGACAGAGTGCTCACACTTGTTTTTTTTTTTACAGCATTCGGGAAAATTCTAACAGGTACCCTGGTATTTGCTCGGGACCCTATCCGGCCTGTGTGGGTCCCTGGAGGCTGCACTGGCTGTGGGTTCTCCGCACACCAAGTCCCCTGTGTGCGGGGTCCTCGATTCCCGGACCAACTTGCTGTAGGGGAGGGAAGGTGGAGGGGCCATCGCAGCTGGTCCTCAGAGAACAGTGAGGTCACGTTTCTGGCAGCAACTGGAACTGGGAAGACAATGGTCACAGTGGGAGTGCTGGTACCCACAAAGTTCTTCCTAAAAGACTGATGGCTGTGCTCCCTGTTTCACACCTCGGAGCATTTAGAACTTGTTTCGTTCGTCTGGGTAACTCTGGAGTCAGCTGCTCATTTCTGGGACCTTGAATTCACATGTTTCTTCATTAACATTTAAAAGAAGAGGCTAAAAAAGAATTCCTTCTGGAGGTGGTTTTTTGAAGAAAAAAATTAAAAAAAAAAAAAAAGCAAAAACACCAGCCCACCACTACCTGAACTGATTTAGCTAGTTTTCTAGCGCCTCCGTTGAATGCCGGTGTTGTGCACACGATCTCCTCACTGTGAGCCGGCCTGTGGCCTGCACAGCGCCCCCTGCAGGGCTCCGGTGGCCCTTGGCTGCCGGCTGTGCCGAAGCGGACGGTGTGGGCCAAGGTCTGAGCGTGCACACGCGTGGGCATGCACACACACAGATGAACTGAAGGGAGACCAGGCTTTGTGATCGCAAAGGTGACCTCTGCTGTGGCTCCCGGGGAAGGTGAAGGGTGACCTGCTTCGATGCGTGTGTTCAGGAGGGTCGGACAGCCCAAGACTTACTGGAAGCACTTTGTCCAATGGGACACGTAACACGGCCAGCGTGTCAGAACCCAGATCTTACCGCGAGGCAGTGTTGGCCCAGATGGCTCCTAGAGGAGCTCCTCGGCAAGGTCCAGTAGCCGATCTGGGGCATCTCTCTGCCTTTGACGTTCATCCTTCACATTGAGAGGCGGAAGCCGGAGATGACTGCTTGGGGAGCACCACCGGCCATTCAGCGTTGGCCACGGGGTGGGGGCCTGAATTTCTTGGAATTTGGTGCCAGGTTAGCCGTAGAATCAACATCTTACCCTGTGGAAGCGCTAGGATTTTCCCAAGTCTGCCCAAGGATTAGGTAGTCTAGTGAAAGCTAACACAGTTGGGTTTTTGAGAGAAATTTATTCATCCTAGTGTTACACCTTTGTCTTGTTTTAAAAGGAAATGTAGGCGAGAAACAAAGATGAAGCTGGTCATTCCGGGGAGAGCAGTGACCTGTGTTGACCCGCCACTTTTTAATGTTTTGGGAGGTTGCATTGAAGCACTTTAATAACAGTTTTTGAGCAGACGTTCTAGAAGCTGGTTTGGAACTGTATGACTCTGGAGAACTGGATGTGAACTATATAAGGATCCTATAAACCCGGCGAGCCTTGGGGACATCCTGAGGAATGGGAATGAGATCCCCTGCTCAGATGAACAGAAAACGCTCTCCTTAGAATTCTCTTCTTTCGAATCATTGTCCCACCTGGCATTTTTGGGGGGCGTCTGAGGGTGTGTATTTTTAATAATAAGAGGACTGAACAGACTTCAGCACGGGAAGCCAGATTGCAAGTTAGGCCACCTCGGTATATAGGTTCTGTTTTCTGAACATAAAGCTATTTTCATCGTTTCTGAAAATGGATATTGTAAAAATGTTGACTCTGGATAGAACTGTGTACATTTCATAGGTTTTTATTTTGACGTGAGTTTTGTTACAGTTTATAAAAGGTATTTTCCTATTTAGACCTCAGGGCTACTTGGGGACCTACAAGTACATGTGACTCCCAGCAGCTTCAAATTCTTGCTATCCAAAAGGTTAATAATACTCTTTAGGTTAAATAGGATACTTTATTCAGCAGAAAGAACGTGTCTGTCCCTTTTAACCTCTGACAAATTCTGTATCTCATATTTAAAAAATATAGAAGAAAAATAATGTAAACATATGGGGGAATTGTGGCTACAGGATTAAAAATCACTTGTGAAATAAACACTCTCCTGGTACAGTGGTATGGTATTGGAATAAACCAAAGTGTGTATAAATGAGAAAATGAGACAATTAAATATGTCAGTATTCTTAATGTCCCTTACTTTGCTCGAAATAGATGTGCACTTTCTTCTTCTGACACACTTTTACTTTTGAACGGTAAGATTTTTAAATTAATGATTCATCCAGGAATATTTTCACTTATGTTAAAATAATCCTGTTGCCGTGCTCATCTTTTTAGGGGGCATCCGGTTTTGCTTTTGTCTGTTTTTTTTTTTTTTTAAGATTTTACTTATTTATTTAACAGAGAGAGAGAGAGAGCACAAACAGGGGGAGCGGCAGGCAGAGGGAGAAGCAGACTCCCAGCTGAGCAGGGGGCCTGATGCGGAGCTCGATCCCAGGACCCCGGGATCATGACCTGAGCTGAAGGCAGACCGTTGATTGACTGAGCCACACACATCTCTCTGTGTATTCTTTTACCTAACTGATACAATGTAAATGTTGTTCTGGAGTTTATTTAAAACATGTCCTTGAAAAGCTTAAATCAAGAACTCTAAAATTAACTTCATTTTCTTTTAATGGCTAAAACAGTAACGCACACACTCAGAAAAAATAAACCAAACGCTGTAAAAGGGTCTCAGATGAAAAGCAACTGACCCTCCCCCGGGCCAGTCCCTCCGACCAATTATTTATGCATCCTTCTAGAAATAGGTTTTAAATGTTTTCTTCCCTTCATGTGTTATACAAATGAGATCCCATGGTATGCACGGTTTCCTTCACTCCTGTTTTGGGGAGAGCACGTTTGGCCCCTTCGTTCATGTGGATTCCATCCGGTATTCCTCAGTAGCGATGCGCCCTGGTTCACCGAACCATTTCCTGGTCTCAGGTTATTGCAGTATTTTCGGTTCCTACCACTTAGGAGTAACTAAGAGTCTTGACCTGCACAGGGAATATTTCTCTAGGATTGACCAGGGTGAAGGGAATAGCAGATTTTAATTTCAATAGTCCCTGCGGCGTTGTTCTTTCCAAAGGCTCCTGAGTGAGTCCTCGCCCAACCACCCGTGGAAAAAAGAGGCGGTGTGCCTCCCGCAGCGACACCTGCTGTTCATCTCACAGGCTGAAGGTTGCTGGGCTGGTGGGTTAAAAAGCTCTATCTCATTTTAATTTTCAGTTCTTCCATTACTGGTACAGTAGAGCATCTTTTCGTGTGTCTTCCGACCATTTTTATCTCCTGTTTGACAGATTCCTTATTTGTATCTGTTTCTGGTGTGTTTTTTATTGTACTTTTTGGTGTCAGTCTTGCCGATT